GCCCTTTCCCATTGTCTTGTCCCTTGGGAGCAGAGCCCGACCCCCCCCTGGCTCCAGGCTCCTGTCAGGAGCTGTGCAGAGCCAGAAGGTCTCCCCTGAGCCTCCTTTGCTCCAGGCTCAGCACCCCCAGCTCCCTCAGCTGCTCCTCCCCACACTTGGGCTCTAGACCCTTCCCCAGCTTTGCTGCCCTTCTCTCCAGCCCTTCAAGGTCCTTCTATGGAGTGAGAGGCCCAAACCTGACCCCAGCATTCGATGTTGAGCCTCACCAGTGCCTCTATTTTCCTAAATTTCAGAGAGTCCTGTTGCAACTGTAGCCATGAAAGAGTTTTTCCTCCCTATTTCCATGGTGTCTTCACTGAGAAATGAAGCAATTGAAGACAGCCTGGTGCTGCATTGAAATACTGATTCTGAGCCACAATACAAATCTGATGCTGCATTGAAACCAAGTGAAAAAAATACTGATTCTGAGCCACAATACAAATCTCTGATCTTTTTTTTCCCTTTTCCTTTTGCTCTGTGACTTGTGTTCCACGATGGAAAATTCATACTGCAAAGGGAGAGCCTCTCAAGGCCATTTCCTGACAAGCATGACATCACCTGCACACCATGTAAAACAGCAATCCTGTAACCCAGACACCCTGCAAATGCTTTTGCTGCTCCTACATGAAAAAGGCATTGTATTAATATTGTTTGGTAATGGGAAGCTTGGAGGAGGAGAGAGAGAGAGAAAAACCTGCTGGCTTCTCCTCTTCAGAGAGCAGAATATCCAGGGGCAGTTTGTGCAAGGGATCACAAAATCATTTTGGTTGGAAAAGACCTTTCAGATCATCAGGTCCAACCATTCACCTGACTCTACCAAGTTCGCTGTTACCCCTTGTCCCTCAGCACCACATCTCCACAACTTCTAAACACACCCAGGGATGGGGACTCCAACCACTGCCCTGGGCACCTGACAAGCTTTGACAACCCTTGCAAGGAAGATATTTCTCATGTCCAACCTAATCCTCCTCTGGCACAACTTGAGGCCATTTCCTCTTGTCCTATCCCTCATGTTTATCTGATTTCTGCCAGTGTTTCTATCCCCACAAACTGGGCACCCCAGTGAGGGTGTGGAGGGTGGGCAACAGAACACCCCCACTCTGTGTGCTCCCCTCAGGGGACTCCAGGAGGCTTTCCCTCATTTAAAGATTCTCTTAATTGTCTTTAAACAGCCTCATCCTCCAGGCATGCTTAAGGAAATTGAGTTCCACCAGCAGAATTAGTGCTTAATTTGCTTCTAAAGACAAAACTGACAGGAAAAAGACAAAGCAAACAGGCACCTATTTGAAGCAAAGCTGTTCAGAAAGCCAACAGGCAGCTCTGCTCCCATCCCAGTTTCCCCCAAAGGATACAATCCAGCAGGAGTTTAGTCAGTGACTGGTATGCTGACAAATTTTGCATTTTAGGGATTTGGTTGTATGAAAAATCCACTTCCTAAAGGAAAAAAATAGAGACAGAAAGGTGGTTTTATTTCTTCACCACTTGCAGCTGCCCTGTGAAACTCAGTGGCTGTTACATTAAACCTAAATGAGGTTTAGAAAGCCCTACAGAATTTAAACCTATAAAATGCATTTTTTTGCCACTCACCTTGAGATTTTTAGGTGGTTTAAACCCAAAATATGTAGTCAATTCATTGTTGGAAGCATTCAGTTCTAGTAAGTAAGGCATGTGGCTGACACAAGAAAGATCTAGTAACAAAACAGAACGTCAGATGCTGAGGTAACTGCAGAGATCACCATGTCAAACTGTGCTAATTATGTCCAATAGCAATCAAGAATCAGTTTGTAATTATACAGTCAGAAAGTGATGCTTGAAATGCAGAAATCAGACAGACTGAGACCTCAGAGTGGAAAAAAAAGAGATGGTTTGTAAACCACAAAGAATAAATATTCAAATTCTACATTAAAATTCTATGATGTCAACATATTTGTCTATAAACCAGGATACAATTTCAGATTACAGCTGCCTCTAGAATGGATTCCTCTGTCCTAAGCTATTAATTAATGGAGAAAAGCATTTAGGCCACTAAATGACTAGTTGCTCTGGAAAAGTCCCTGCTCTGTTCAGTACCTTACAGAAGGGCTGCTCTGATTGGGCTCCAGCACCTCAACTGAAGTGGGTATGAAAGGAGCAATCCAACAGGCTGCCCACCACAGGCTGTTCCTTCTCATGTTGGATTAAAAAATGGATTGAGGAGTACAAGGGAGAAGGAAGGATTAAAAGGTGATGGAAACTGAGAATGGTTTAGGTTGGAAGGGACCTTTCCAGGCCATCCAGTCCAACCCCCTGCAGGGAGCAGGGACAGCCCCAACTAGAGCAGGTTGCTCAGAGCCCTCAACCTCCCCTGGGATGGTGCCAGGGATGGGGCAGTGACCACCTCTCTGGGCAGCCTGGGACAGGGGCTCACCACCCTCAGATTCCAAAATTTCTTCCTTCTCTCTGGTCTAAATCTCCCTCTTGGAGTTTCAAACCATCCCCCCCTTTTCCTGTCCCAACAAGCCCCACCAAAAAGATTGTCCCCATTTTTCTGAGAGGCCCCTGGCAGCCCCCAGCAGGTCTCCCCAGCTGGAGCCTTCTCCTCTCCGCTGCCCAGCCCAGCTCTCTCCTGGTGGGCTCCCAGCAGAGGGGTTCCCCCCTCGGGGCATTGCTGGGGCTCCTCTGGCCCTGCTCCAGCAGGTCCCTGGCTCTGCTGTGCTGAGGACTCCAGAGGGGGCAGAATCCCCTCCCTTGACCTGCTGCCCATGAGTTTACCCCAGTCTTTGTTACCTTTCTAAATCTAGGATATATTTTTTTATGTTTATCAGCAATGGGAAATCTTGACAAAGGAAAACCCAAGGCTGGGAAAACTCTGCCAGACCTAACTTCAACTATTATGACATCTGCACATGTAAAATCTCAACCTAAACCTTGTCTTGACACGCTTGCTTGCATTTTATCTCTGGATAATGAACTGGACAATAATCTCCACTGATAAACACATGCTGGTGCCTCTCTCTGAATGGTCCATACATCATTCTCCAGGGGGTCAAGCCATCCCCTGCTGCTGTAGAGCTGGAGTAGTTCCACCATTAGAACCCAGAGCAGCCTTTGTGGTACTAAAGCTCCATGGTACAGTGCATTTCTCATCTGAAATGATTTCACAACCCAAGAATTTACTGGTGTATTTACTACATACCATTAATTTTATTATCTGAAAGCTCCAGCTTCTGTAGGTGAATGTATCTGGAGAGAATGTTAACATCCCATAACTCACGACCCTGGAAAAAATAAAGCAGAGAGACTTTAATAACTATAACCCCAGGCACTCTCCCAGGGGATACACAGCAGCAGGAGACATTGAAGAGGTGCCCCCAGGTCCCACCAGCTGGATGTGTCACAACAGGATGACATCTGCAGAAATGGATGTTAGACCCCACAGAGCAGCCAGGAATGGAGAAAATGTCAAAAGAAGGCTTTCAAACACAACCAGGAGAGATGGCTGCAGCTAGGAAAGATGGCAGAGAAACAAGGCTGCATAGAAAAGGCAACAGCAGCTAGTAATCTGTGAAAAAAAGGCACAATAATGGTAACTTTCAGAAGGGACAATGAACACAGCACTCTTCAGGGGTTTAGCATGTTCCTGTAGGTTTTTTTTCCCCTCAGCTGGCTGAAGCAGGAAGCTAAATTTTCACACCCAAAGATCAGGTAAGGAAAAAATCCTCCTGCTGTGGCAGCTGAGTGGAAGAAACAACCCTGAGGTGGCAGCTGCCAGCAGGAGCCACGTCCTGTCTTCTCCAAAGCCCCACGTCCATGAAGCAGCACTGATGGGGAGAGACAAAAATCTGCCTCTGGGAACTTTTTTTTTGCTAGCCCCACTATTTGCTGTTAAAAAGAGGAAAGCTCTGAGCACAGAAACACTCACAGTGCTTATACTTACTGAAAGAGAGAGATTAAGATAAACATATTCAGTGCCAGGGGCTGAGCGCCCCAGCTTGTGGAGCCCCTCAGCCACGGTGTCTTCATCCAACACCCCATCAAAGTGAACCTAGAAAACACCAGAAAGAGGAGGCAGGGAAAGGAATGGGTTAAGGGGAGGTGCATGAAGCAGAATTCCACCCTCGGGAGAATCTGGGGGCTGTCTGGGATGCAGCTGGGAACAGAGTGAATAAAACCCTCAGTCAAACGCTGCTCTCAGTGCTCCACCACCCGACTCAGGCTCCACAAATGAGGAAAAAATGATGAAGGCAGCCCTCAGAACAGATAAATAAAAACATGGCACCTACTAACTCCAGCCATTTAAAGAGGTTCAAGAGGGATTTTTGGTTGGGATGCTTTTTTTTACCTTCTGGTTTAAACCCCCAGCTCTCAACAGGACCCGATCCCGGAGCCGTGGAGCCACAAAACTCCTGCTGAGGGTGGCTGATAACACCTCAGCACCCACATAACCCCAGTGCTGCACCCCAAAATGCACATTATTGGAGGCCCTTTAAATGTGTTCAGCTCGAGCTACTCTTCTGAGAAGAGCCTTTGCCAAGGAGGCTGCTGGACAGATGGCACTAAGGAACCACTGCCTGGGTTTAATGAGAAAATAAGCCAATGGTTTGTGAAATTTCTGTGAGCTTAGAGGAGCCACACAACAAATCTAAGGACCAAGGGAAAGAATGTTTCACGTGGTAATCACCTAAATTACAGTACAGAGCAAAGGAGGCTGCTCTGCCTTTCCCCTGGGTCAGAGTTTGAGGGGGTAAGGGTGTGGGAGTGGGCACTTCAGAAAAAATCCACTGGGGTCCAGGAGCTTATTGAATTGAGGGCTGGGCATGGAAACAGGAAAGGGGTTTAATTTGGCCATTAAAATGGCAGTTTGTACTCGGTCTTTCTATAGCAAGGAAAGTGAGGGGCAGTCCAGAACTGTCCTGGCTGCTAGAGGGATGAAAGGGATTCTACAAACCAGGGAGAAATGAGAACTGAGGGGGAAAATCCCCAAACCTTTCCCCTCGCTGGGGAAATGAGGCATCGACACCCCTTTTTTTTCCCTCAGAAGAAGAGTGAGACAAAAGGGGGAGAGGGGGGGAGACTGAGGGGAACCTCTCCGCGCTGTGACTCCTCTTCCTCTCCCTCCTC